CTCTAGTTCCACCCTTCTCTTTGCCACCCTCCTGGCATCTACTTCGCTCACACATACCTCCTCTGCTTCATGAGACATCCCAGATTGCCCCAATAACTGGGATTTTCTTGTTTGGGGCCTTTATACCATGTATCATAAAATTCCTACAGAATCAAATAGGCAAAATATCAAATCAGACTTTAACCAGCTTCTCAGGAATTACTAGCTACTTGCTACCTCTGAGAACACCCATCCCTTACGTGAAGGCCTCACCAACTGCTGATGGAACTTCACCATCATGGATATGGAACTACAAAAGGGAAGCAACTGGGGAACTTCACTAGCTTGTCACCCAGGATTTCTAGGCCCATTCACATTTGTGTGCCTCGTCCTGGCAGCTGGTCTTTTCTCAGCCAGTCCCTCTCACTGGACCTCTGGACAGAAGCTAATGTGGTGTCTCCTCTTCTCTCTTCTTCTCCTTGCCTTCGGGTATCTTTGGTGTTTTTAGCTTCACCGAGTGGCACTCCCGGTTCCTGCAGTTTGTGGAAGCCCTCCAACAGGACAGCTGGCTGATTCCACCCATTTATAGGGACAAGGATTGGATCGAGGCTATCCATGACCTATGGCTTCAAGGAACTTTCATCGATTTCAACGCCAAGGAAATTCGCATCTTCAGCGCCCTGGCCTTTATAGCTATAATTCTCTTGTCCCCCCAACCTGACCATTCCTCCCTTCCTTCAAACTCATCTTCCCTCTCCAATAGGAAGTAGCCAGATGATTTCAATGCCCTGAGTCCAAACACAAAGAAGAAGGGAGGAATGTTGGGAGACCTTGACATTGGGTTTTATTTGCCCCATAGGGTCACTCCCCCACTGAACTTTCTGTTTCTACAGAAAAATATTACACAATCCCTTACCCCTCCACCTCTTCTCTCAAGAACGCCAAAGTCAAAATTTTTCGCCAAAAATTCCCTCAAGACACATTGTCCAATCACTCTTTCCTACCAAACCCTGCCAATCACCACCATTGCTGAGTCACCCTGCAAATCAGTAACCACCACATGGCCTAATCAACACGTCTAAAGCCAAAACTGGCTCAAGGGGATGCACTCTACCTCTCCTTTTCTTCTCCTTCATACAAACCTCAATAAAATCTCTTCGTTCAATTACCGTCTCCTGTGAGTCACTTGAATATCAGCAGGTACACTCCTACAACTGGGGAGGCTAGGGAGTACTCCCTGACACTCTCCCAGACGCAATGGTAAAGCAAGAGGCAGAGAGGCCTGGGCCAAGGAGGCCCAGGGGCACTGGCTAGGGCATCAGGCAATCCTGCTATCCAGAAAACTAGGATGCCCTGCCAGCAGTCTGTCGGGCAGGTACCTTCCTGCAACTGGCGAGCAAGGGGAGAGGGCCCTGGGACCCGCTCTGGGAGGGGAGTGCAGCCTCCCTGGTCTCAGAGCCTGGGGGGCCCTCCAGGCAAGAGGTAGAGAAGCCTGGGGCAAAGTGGCCCGAGGCCGGCCACTAGGGGGCTCCGCCAACGCTAATGGCAGTGGGTAGGGGAGCCTGGTGGCCACTGTGGCTGGCTGGCGGAGGAGGTGGTGGGGGTGGGGGGAGGGCGAGACGGGAAGCCCTGGCCCAGGAGTGCTGTGGCAGCCAGCAGTTGGGGGGATGCGGGCGCGGGGTGGGGGATGTTCCCCTCCTGTCGCGTCCTGAGATTCCCGGGGGGCCAGGGCAGGGTGCCCTCTGTCCCTCTCTGGCTTAGGAAGGGGGACCCTCCAGGGCGCGGGCGGGCGGCTAGGATCCTCCTCCCTCAGCTCATCCACCCCCCACCCCCAGGCCCCACCCGCCACAAAGGACCAGAAACCATCATCCTGCCAAGCCAGCCATGCCAGCCATGCCACCCGGCCATGCCGGAGACATGTCACAGGAGGGACCTACCCCCATACCCCCCCCATGCCGCCCCACATCTCCCCTCCCCCAGATCCTAGGGCCCCGGTGTCTGTGTGCATCTTGGGGAGGCAGGGACTGCATAGGGGAGGTGTTCTAAGTGAGGAAGTGTTCCAGCGTTCCCTGTCCCCCGCAGCACCTCTCCTGGCTGGACTTGGAGTCCGGGTGGTTGGTTGAGTGTGAGAGAGGGCAGGAGCGCAGTCCGGAAGGGAGTGGGCCCCTTCAGGGCCGGCTAGATGTCCCTCAGTTGCTCCCAGTGGCAGCGTGCCCCACAGCGGCCAGGCGCCCCTTCGCCTCAATGGACCGCGACCTCAGGGTCCCCGGGCGCCAGGGCGTGTTTCCTGGTGGCTGGGCAGTTCTGGGGGAGGGGGTGGGGGGCCGGGGTTGCCGAACAGGATTCCCTGGAGAGGGCAGAGTGTCGCAATGTCCCGGCGGTGGTCCCTCCGCCCGAGATGAGTTGGGTGCCAGTCTGGAGGCCAAGGGGCCTCTTGGCTTGAAGGGACAGGTGGGCATGTGCCCTGGGTTCCCAGGGGTGGACCCTGGAAGGAGCGCCTGAGCCTCGGGCGTGTGAGCCCTCCGGGGCCAGGCGCGGGCTCTCTGAAGGGGGAGGCAACGAGGCAGAGAAGGCGCCCAGGCCCACACTGGCTTCCCGAGGGGAGGACTGGGCTCCTCTGCTTGCGTGCCGGGTGCCCACAGGCACACAGTCAGCTGAGGAAAGAGAGTCTGGTCCTTCCCGGAAAAGGACACTTGGGCTCCCTGGCTCCAGCCTTGGGTGGGTCTCTCCAGAAGGAGCAGGACCCAGCCATAGCGTGGCCTGGGGGGGGAGGGTGGGGGAAAGTGGGAGGGGGTGCGGGCAGTGGGGCTGGGGTGGCCGGGGTGATGGGCTCTGGCTTCCCTGAGGTGGGCCTCCAGGGGTCTCTCGGTCTGTTCTGAACTCCCCTGGGAGCCTTCCATGGCCTGGGTCCAGCTGAGGGCTGATGGGGTCCTGGGCCAGGGAGGCAAGAGATTCTCAGGCTGGGGTGCAGAGCGGCGAGGAGAAGTACAGAAGGGAGGGATGTGGAGAGAGAAGAGGGGGGCACGGGGTGCTGGGAGGTGGAGTGGGGTGGGGTGGGGGGTAGGTAGGCAGGCAGGCGTGCAGGCAGGCAGG